CAGATCTATATTACAAGAAATACTAAAGGAAATTCTTCATATTGAAAAGTTGTGATACCAAATGGAAACTCGATTTTTAAGAGGAGCAATGGAAATTATAAATATGTAGATAAATAGAAAACTCTATTTTCCTCTTAATTTCTTTAACATTTTAATGAGCATTTAAAGCTGAAATTATAACATTGCATTGTGTGGTTTATGGTTTATGTAGATCTAATACAGATTGTGTAGATCTGAACACAGAATATCTGGGTCTTCTGCTTCAGGGTCTTTCACAGGACTGCTATCAAAATATTGACTAGGGCCCTGGCTGGTTTGATCAGTGGTTAGAGCCTTGGCCTGCAAACCAATGAGTCGTGGGTTAGATTCTGGCCAAGGGCACATACCCTAATTTCAGTTGGTCCTCAGCCCTGGTGAGGGTCATGTGGGAGGCAACCTGTTGATGTGTCCCTCTCACATCTCTCTCTCGCCCTCTCCCTTTCCCCCTCCCTCCTAATCTATCTGAAGATAAATATAAAAATATCCTCTGGTGAGGATTAAAAAAAAAATGTTGACTAGGGCTGGGATCTCATCTGAAGGTTTGACTGGAGAGGATTTACTTGCAAGCTTATTTACATGGGTATTAGTAGGATTCAGTGCCTTGAGGGTTGTTGGTCCGAGGACCTCAGTTCTACATTATCTGTTGTCCAGAGATTTCCCTCAGTTCCTTGCCAAATGGGTCTCTCCAATATGGTTGTTTGCTTCATCAAATCCAGCAAAAGAGTGTAATTTTTTGGTTAAAAGCAAGTCACTAACAGCGAGGAAGTTATACAACATCACAAATCCCAGTAGGCAAGAATCACTGGAGCCATCTCAGAGGCTGCTTCGGCATTCTGGATTTCACCAACATAGAATGGGCTCCCTGAACTTTGTTCAGTACCTCCTGTTCCATGAAGTTTTTTAAAAAATGACTTGTTAAGGCTGTGGAAGAAATATTTAAGCCCAAGACCTGTGCCATACTCTGTCCCCAAAGGTCTTCTCCTTTCCTCATCCCTTGCCTCTTTCTTTATTTGTAAATTCTCCTCCATTGTTCAAGGAGGACTCCTCCTTGAAGTCCCCCCCTCAGAGCTCGGGGTGGAAGTTTCCCCAAGCGTCCATAATCAGGACCTTGAGCACTTGCTTTAGAAGCATTGTGCCCACAGCTGTTGGTTCCATGTGTCGTAAGTATAGTGTGCTTATAAATAATTCTTATCTTCCCAGCTGCTCTTTTCAAGAATGTTAAGCATTTTGGAGTTTGTAGAAATTCAATCAGGACATGGAAATGCTTCCCTAGATGTCCTTCAGTGGCTTCAAAGTGGAAAGTTCCAGCAGGTACAAAGGAAGGAGAAAAGAAGTCTTTCTGGGGTGCTTTCAGCATAATTGGATCTTAGGGACTTTGACTCAGAAGTATAAAAAGTTTTCTGACTTTCTACGATTTCGTTTCCAAACTTTTAATCACTCCAGGGAACACAGTAGTTCCAATTACAGTGCTAATTTCAAATTTCATTCTACATGTACTAGTTGTTCCTTTGGGTATTTTGCCTAAAACACAGAACCAAGGCAGAGCAGGAAGAATTGGATTTCACAACTTCTTCAAATAAGAGGTGGACATCTCAGCCCAGGCCTTTCAGACTTGTGTTGCTATTTCTGGCCCATGTCTGTTCCCAAGACATAGGGACCCTTTTTCACTAGGTTCCTGATCAAGGTAAGTGAGCGTTCTTATAAAGAGTAATCCTTAACCTTTTATTAGCATAGTAACCCTTTCAGCTTCTGGATTTTCTTCCCAACGGGGTTGAGGCTTGAGAAGGGAAGAAATAAAACAATTGCAGTGGTATCACGAAGACCGAGGGCCATGCAGATCCCCTTTTTCCGGGGTCGGAAAAACCAAGATGGCAAGAAACCTATGAAATTTTTCAGTCTCATTTCACGGACTCACTTAACTTCAGAGACACCTTGAGAAATGAGAGAGTCCCATAGTTTCAGAGCCCCCTCGTGTACAATTCCGGGGAGCACCATTCACATTGTACCCATGGAAATGGCTGGGGTTGTCCTGTAGTTGTGCCCCAGAGAGCATCATTTATGTTGTCTACAATGTAAGTGGCGTCTCCTGGAGCTGAGTATCACTGTGGCCTGGACTCAAAGCAGCCTCACGGACTGAGCAGCCCATACTTTCTGAGCCTTCTTTCCCCACTTAAATAAAAGCACCTCTGCTTTATATTTGAGGGTTCTGAATTTAAGAACACAAAAGTTCTCTTTCATAAAGAGTTTGAACATCATTGATCTCTTCTAGTCCCAATACAGAATACAGTAACCTGAGGGTCGAAAAGAGGAAAGGAGAACTGAAATCTATACAGCAAGTTGGAAGGTTAAGCAGAACACAGCTCATCTGTGGCTTACAGACCTAGTGACTTTCCACAAATTCAGTGCATCCTGAAGGAAGCCGACCACCATTATATGAATGAGAAAAACTCAGAAAGCTGCCTCCTTTGTTCAGGATAAAAAAATTTTCTAATATTCCAGAACTCTGCAAATAATAGAGTACACTGGTAATATAGTGACCTCTTTATCATTAGAAGAGATCAAGATGAAACTGAAAAGCTATGCTTCAGTGTGGTGCAGAAAAAGATCTAGAATGGGAGTGGGAGTTGGACTACATTATTTGGGCACATAATTAGTGACAGGATATCAGTCTGGGTAACATACCTAAGCCACTGAGCCAAAAGGCTCAAGGACTATTGATGTCCACTGATTCTTGTGTGGACAGTCAGTCATCTGGGGGAAGGTGACCCAGTAGAAAGATAAAAAAACCCTGCTGTAGTTTTCTAAAAGAAGTAGATTTCCAGAAGCTGTGGTCCACTGTGGGTTTTTGGAGTTTGTCTATCTTTTTTTTTTTTAATTTTATTTTTGTTACAGATGTTTCTCCTTTTTTATCCCATTGACACCTTTCTCCCCCTCCCCCCCAACCCCCCGCCTCATCCCCGGCTTTGTTGTCTATGTCCATGGGTTATGCATACATGCATATAAGTTCTGTGGTTTATCTCTTTCCACCCCCTCCACCCCCTCTTCTGAGGGTTGTCAGTCTGTACCCTACTTCTGTGGTTTTGGGTCTACCCTAATCCTCAGACTGTTATATTCATTATATTCCATATATAAGTGAGATCATGTGGTATTTGTCTTTTTCTGCTTGGCTTGTTTCACTTAGGATAATACTTTCCAGGCCCCTCCATGTCGTCTCAAAGGATAAGAGATCTTTCTTTCTTACCACTGCATAGTACTCCATTGTGTATATGTACCACTGCTTTTTTATCCACTTGTCTACTGATGGACACTTGGGCTGTTTCCAGATCTTAGCTATTATAAATAGTGCTTCTATGAACATGGGGGTACATATATTCTTTCCGATTGGTGTTCCAGGCTTCTTAGGGTATATTCCTAGAAGCGGGATCACTGGGTCAAAAGGAAGTTCAATTTTTAATTTTTTGAGGTAACACCATAGTGTTTTCCATAGTGGCTGCACCAGTCTGCATTCCCACCAGCAGTGCACTAGAGTCTCCTTTTCTCTGCACCCTCGCCAACACTTGTTGTTTGATGATTTGTTGATGGCGGCCATTCTGACAGGTGTGAGGTGATACCTCATTGTTGTTTTAATCTGCATCTCTCTGATGATTAGTGATGATGAGCATTTCTTCATATGTCTCTTGGCCATTTGTATGTCCTGTTTGGAGAGGTGTCTATTCAGCTCCTCTCCCCATTTTTTAATTGGGTTCTTTGTCTTCCTTTTTTTGAGTTGTATGAGTATTCTATATATTTTGGAAATTAACCCCTTATCTGATGTATCATCAGCAATGATGTTCTCCCATACAGTGGGTTCCCTTCGCATTTTGATGGTTGTTTCTTTTGCTGTGCAGAAGCTTTTTAGTCTGATGTAGTCCCATGTGTTCATTTTCTCCTTTGTTTCTGTTGCCTTAGTTGATATATCATTGAAAATTCTGCTGCGTATGATGTACGTAATTTTGTTGCCTACATTTTCTTCTAGAATTTTTATGGATCCACGGTTCACATTTAAGTCTTTTATCCATTTTGAGTTTATTTTTGTGTATAGTGTAAGTTGATGGGGAGTTTGTCTATCTTCATAGAACATCGGATTCAAACTATTAAGGACATATCAGCATTACCATGGAGACCCCCCTCCCCTCACCTTTCCCTTCTATCTCTCCATGTCGTCTTCTTTTGTCCTTAAAATCCCAGCTGGATTCCATATCACCAAAGGAGCCTTCCACAACTTCTATTCCCACCAATACCCTGAGTGTTCTTTCAGATGCTCTGGCCTCTCCTAAACCCTGCTGCTTCCCCTCCCTGCCAGACTGTGAGCCCATTTAAGCTTGGGCCATGGGTCACCCTTGTTCCTCATAGGAATTGTGATACCTACATACTGGGTGAAACAAGTGTTTTGGTTGATGGATGTTCAGATATAGACAAAAAGATGAATGGATGGATGAATGAATGGTTGGACAGATGGATGGAAAGCCCTGGAGCTGGTGTGCCCATGAGAAAGGAGATCTTGGGAACAATAGGAGGATGTTTTCTGTGAGAATGATCTGGAGAGAAAATATAATATTCACAACTAACCATATTACTAGTACCTGGCACAGTAGAAGAACATGGAGCAAACACTAAGTCATTTTTATCATTGAAGTTTAATGAGGTGAATTGCCATATAAGACATAATCACTAAAATGAATATATGTGTCTTGTCTCTGATTAAATGCATCAAATTATCAGAATCATTATTTTAAACATTGTAAATTTGATGTCTTATTGCTTCTTTTTCTTGGAAAGAAATAGAGACTATGGACTTTTAGAACTGTTTTCTAATCACTCAGCCTGACTGAACTGAAGACCAGATGGCCTGCACCTATGCAAGGCAAAGAATGTTGAGTTTGAGTCTCAATATTTTCTTCAGTTGAAAGAGGAGACCCACCATGGAAAGTGCCAACCAGACAGCCTCTGCGACAGAGTTTATTCTCCTAGGCCTCTCTGCACACCCAAAGCTGGAGAAAATGTTCTTTGTGCTCATCCTGTCAATGTACTTGGTGATCCTGATGGGCAATGGGGTTCTTATTTTGGTGACTATGTTGGTCTCCAACTTGCACACACCCATGTACTTCTTCCTGGGGAACCTTTCTTTCCTGGACATCTGCTACACTACCTCCTCAGTCCCCCTCATTCTTGACAGTTTCCTGAACTCCAGGAAAACTATAGCCTTCTCAGCTTGTGCTGTGCAGATGTTTCTCTCCTTTGCCATGGGAGCCACAGAGTGTGTGCTTCTGGGCATGATGGCATTTGACCGCTACATAGCCATCTGCAATCCCCTTAGATACCCCATGGTCATGAACAAGGCTGCCTACCTGCCCATGGCTGCCAGTTCCTGGGGAGCTGGAATTGCTGTCTCCATAGTTCAAACATCCCTTGCAATGAGACTGCCCTTCTGTGGGAACAACATCATCAACCACTTCACCTGTGAGATCTTAGCTGTCCTGAAGTTGGCTTGTGTTGACATCTCCATCAATGTGATCAGTATGGGAGTGACAAATGTGATCTTCTTGGGAGTCCCAGTTCTGTTCATCTTTGTTTCCTACATCTTCATCCTCACCACCATCCTAAGGATCCCGTCAGCTGAGGGAAGGAAAAAGGCCTTCTCCACCTGCTCTGCCCACCTCACAGTCGTGGTTGTCTTCTATGGGACCATCCTCTTCATGTATGGAAAACCCAAATCCAAGGACCCTCTGGGGGCAGACAAACATGACCTTTCAGACAAGCTCATAGCCCTCTTCTATGGGGTGGTGACCCCCATGCTCAACCCCATCATCTACAGCCTGAGGAACAAGGATGTGAAGATGGCTGTGAGGAACCTGGTACATCAGAAACACTTCACCCAGTGATGTTTGGAGAGCAGATGTCCCTGTAGTTCTGTGCCCATTGGCTACTTTCACTCACCAATCTCAGAAGAATGTGTCCCCCAAAGAAGATACTTGTGAAGAATAATGAGCCTGGCCAGGTGGCTCAGTTGTTAGAGTGTCATCCTGTATACCGTGGGGTTGCCGGTTTGATTCCAGGTTGGGGCACATGCCTGGGATGCAGGTTCAGTCCCCAGTTGGGGCATGTGTGGAGGGCAGCCGATCAATGTTTCTCTGTCACATGGATGTTTCTCTCTCTCTGTCTCTTTCTCTCTCACTTCCTTCCTCTCTCTAAGCATATCCTCAGGTGAGGATTAAAAAAAAAGAATAACGACCAGAAAAATCAAATTACACATGTAATGGAGAATTTTAGCTGTTACTGGACCTATTTTTTTTTAAGACAATAAAACCTGAAACCTGATGGGAGAGTGACTTGAAGGAATGGAAGTGGAATGCTGCTAAAATCAAAACAGTGAATTTTCTGCCCTGGCCGGTTTGGCTCAGTGGTTAGAACGTTGGCCTGCGGTCCCGAGAGACCCGGGTTCGGTTCCCACTAAGGGCACGTACCTCGGTTGCAGTTTGTCCCCGGCCCTGGTTGGTCGTGCGGGTGGCAGCCACTCGATGTGTCCCTTTCAGATGTGTCCCTTTCACATTGATGTTTCTCTCTCTCTTCCTCTCTCCCCCTCCCACTCTACCTGAACAAAAAATAGAAAAATGTCCTCAGGTGAGGATAAAAAAATAATAATAATTTTCTGATTCTCTACTGGGCAAGTCTGAATACACCTTTTTGAGCAGGTTGCTCATTTGCGGGGTGCAGCTTAGTGTACCTTTGTGTTACATAAAAATGCAATCCTACTCTAGATAGCGTCTGGGGCAAACTTCATGACATTACACTACTAAAAAATTTTCTTGGACTTCCGGTCAAGATGGCGGCGTAGGTAAACGGTATCGCGTCCTCCCACAACCACATCAAAGTTACAACTAAACTACAGAACAACCATCATTCAAAACTGCCTGAAATCAAGCTGAATGGAAGTCCTACAACTACGGAATTAAAAAAAAAACAAAACAGCTACATCCAGACTTGTAGGACGGGCGGCGGCGCGAGGGGTGGCGGCACGAGGGGTGGCGGCGCGGCGGCGAGACGGGCTGGTCCCACACCCAAGCGTGGTGGATAAAAATCAGGAGGCTCCCGCGGCTGGGAAGGTCCTTCCTGAGGACTGAGGGGTCCCCGTCATACACCAGGTGCCCCATTCAGGGTTCCGGTGCCAGGAAGAGAAGTCCCCATAACTTCTGGCTGGAAAAACCAGCGGGAACTGAGGCTCAAGGAAGCTGAAGCGGCTGGAGCCCCAGGCAGCTCCCTAAAGGGCCCGAGCACGGACTTATCGGACTCTCTCCCTCTAAGCTCGGAGGGGAGGCAGCTCGAGGGGCACCAGAGACATACAGGGAAGAACTGAGCTGTTTGGCACTGGAGCGAGGGCTGGAGACGGGGCTTCCTCAGGGACAAACGTGCTGTAAGAGGCCTTTGTTCCTTTGGTGAGCCCTTCCTGGGAGCGGCAGACAGAAGCCATATCTGGGACTCCAGCAACCTGGCTCACACTGGTAGCCCCGCCCTGCTGACTCCCTGAGGCCCCGCCCCGCCCCACACAACTTTCAAGCCCACCCAAGCTGTTGCCACTTGCTTAACCATAGGATTGGCCGGTCTTGGATCCTGCTTCAGGTTTTTCCTAAATTCTTTCAAACAAGCAGCATGGGGTCTCAGCAAGCCCCATACCTCTCATTAAGTAATACACAGAAACAAACACAGGGAGGCAGCCAAAATGAGAATACAAAGAAACAGGTCCCAAATGAAAGAACAGAACAAAACCCCAATAAAAGAACTAAGCGAAAGGGAGATAAGCAACCAAACAGATACTGAGTTCAAAATACTGCTTATAAGGATGCTCAATGAACTTAGTGAGAACCTCAGTGAATTTAGGGAGGGCCTCAAGAGCATAAAAAAGGACCAGTTAGAAATCATGGATACACAGTTAGAATTAAAGGAGGCATTAACTGAAATAAAGAATAATTTACACAGCTTCAATAATAGAGTATGTAAATCCAAGGAGCAAACCATCGATTTGGAATATAAGGAAGCAAAAAATCCCCAATCAGAACAGCAAAAATAAAAAAGAATCCAAAAAAATGAGGATAGTGTAAGGAGCCTCTGGGATAACTTCAAGCGTGCCAACATTCGCATCTTGGGGGTGCCCGAAGGAGAAGAGAGAGAACAAGAAATCGAAAACCTGTTTGAAACAATAATGGCAGAAAACTTTCCTAACTTGGTGAAGGAAACAGACATACAAGTCCAGGAAGCACAGAGAGTGTCCCAAACAAGATGAACCCCAAGAGGCACACACCAAGACACATCATCATCAAAATGCAAAAGGTTCAAGACAAAGAGAGAATCTTAAAAGCAGCAAGAGAAAGGCAGCTAGTTACCTACAAGGGAGTACCCATTAGGCTGTCAGCTGATTTCTCAAAAGAAACTTTGCAGGCCAGAAGGGAGTGGCAAGAAATATTCAGAGTGATGAAAACCAAGAACCTACAACCAAAATTACTCTATCCTGCAAAGCTGTCATTTAGAATTGATGGACATATAAAAACTTTCCCAGACAAGAAAAAGTTAAAGGAGTTCATCACCACCAAACCGTTATTATATGAAATGATGAAGGGTCTTTTTGAAGAAAAAGATAAAATGTATGAACAGACAAAATGGCAATGAATGCATATCTATCAACAATGGAATCTACAAACAAAATGAACAGGAAGAACAGAAACATTATCATAGATACAGAGAACATTTTGTTGGTTACCAGATGAGAGGGAGTTTGGGGGAATGGGTGAAAAAGGTGAAGGGATTAAGAAGCACAAATTCATTGCTAGACTGACAAACGTCAAAGGGAAAGGGGTTGGGGGGGTGGGAAGAAATAAACCAAAGAACCTATATGCATAACCAATGGACACAGACAATAGTGTGGGAAAAGGTGGGAGGGGGGCAGGAGTGGGGAAGAGGGGGTCAATGGGGGAAAAATGTGGAACATCTGTAATACATTTTACATCCAACAATAAAGATTTGAAAAAAAAAATTTCTTCATTGTATATGAAATGGAGCATCTTTAAACTTTATCTTGGAGGCAGGGCTGAGGTTAGAGATGAGAATGAAGTTTGTCTTCTTTTCCCTGAGACTCAGAGGAGTTGAAACCATGAAGATTCCGCGTCAGGCATTTCCTCTGAGGGCAAGTAAGCTGGATCCTTTTAACACACGTGTGGAGGATCTTTGCCTGGGAACATTCATAGCTGGAATTCATTAACTCCATCCAATTTTAGGGTTCAGTGTCCTGCTCTCGGTAAGTCTTATTTAAGTACATAGTCTGGCCCTACAGTCTGAAGAGTTGAAGGAAGGACCTATTGGGAGAGTAGAGCAGGGTCACACAGCAGTCTGAGAGAAGCCAGAGTCAGAATGTAAGACGTGACCAGCAGAAGATGAAGTAAGGTACGTGACAAGAGGTCCAGAGGTAAAATGTGTGACAATCTCAGTCAGTAGAATAACTAAAAAGAGCAAGCTATTGTGGGATAGAGAACTTTGAATGTCTCTTTTTTCTTGAGGCAATTGGATGTTCATTTTTTCCTGAGAATTAAGACTTTCTAATGAAAAAAAAAAGCTCTCTGCCTGCCTTGCACCTCTCTTTGTCCCCACACGCTCTCCTGCCCATACTGGGTAGAAGCGTGGACACCGTCACTGCCTGCGTGACCCTGAAAGTAGTCTCAGGCTGTAGGAGCGAGCACATGGGGCGTGTACCTGTTTCTCCATCTCAGAGACAGTATTATCTGTCCCGCCCTGGTGTGAATTTGCCTTTCCCTATTGAGCATGGAGTTATTCTGCATACTTTTTAGCTCACTATAGAGAGGATGACATTAACTAGGGAATTAATGCCAACCTTTATAAGTCAAGAATTGACTTAAAAATGAAACAGTCCTGCAGAGCAAAATTCCTTTTCAACATACTTTATTTCACTAGTTTTGACTTGGAAAACTGTGCCTAATTCCCACCCAGACCTTTCTACAGGACGGAAGGAGGTGTTCCTCCAGCTGCTGAAAGTACCAGTGATACCTCGGTTCTCGAACGCCTCGGATTTCGACCAAATCGGTATTCGACCAGGAGATTCGAGAAACTTTTGTCTTGGAATCCGAACAAATATTTGGAACTCGAACTTCCGAGATGAGCCGAGTTGAGCCGAATGGCGTTCATTCGGCCCAGCGCGCCTTGCTTGCGTCATCAGTGTGAGTGCAGACAGAGAGTCACGCTTTGTGGAGAGAGTCACGCTTTACACTGAATTTAACCCTTAGACATACTGTACACTTTTATTTCTTGTTGAGACTTATGTTTTTCTACATATTATATACAAATTAGGCCAGTAAATAGGCATTTTCTGGGGCTTGGAACGAATTAATCCAGTTTCCATTATTTCCTATTGGGTTTCATTGCTTCGGTTCTCGAACAATTTGGTTCTCGACCGTCCTCCTGGAACGAATTATGTTCGAGAACCGAGGTATCACTGTACTACCAGCAGACAGCCTTCAGCTGTCAGGCATCTTCAGGAATTAGCTAAAGAGGGCTCTTAGCTAAAGAGCTGACTCACCCAACAGCATGCCCCCTTCCTCGGGCAACCCATATCCAATGACTTGTTGATGGGGGATATAAACGTCTTGCCCCAACTAGGACAACTCGGAAGGGCCATCCCAGTGCCAGGGCTCCCCATGGGGTTGACCAAAGCCTTTGTTGAGACTTTGCACAACTTATCCCTTTGCCCAATCCTGCTTCCCATCCTCCCTTCCACCAGTGTTGACCTCAAGAGAGCTCTCCAACAAACCTCCTGAACCCCAGTCTCCATCTCAAGTCTGCTTCTGAGCAGACCCAAACTGTGACACCACACAAACTCCAA